AAAAAAAAAAAAAAAAAAAAAAAAAAAAAAAAAAAAAAAAAAAAAAAAAAAAAAAAAAAGAAGTATTTGATCTAGATTATGTGACGTTTAATTATAAATTAGTCTCTAAATTTTTACGTTTGTTTCTATTTGATCTATAAACTTTCTAATCTTTTCAATCTTGTGTCCATTGAGTCCTTGGATTTTAAAAAGTATTTGATTGAGTCCTTGGATTTTAAAAAGTATTTGATCAGTCCTTCAACCATCAATATTATGTCCTATTTTGCATATGATAGGTCTTTAAAATAATCAATATTTTTTAAAACTCACGTACCTACTAAACACGAAATTGAAAACTTAAGGTTCCATTACACAAAATTCCAGTTTATGCTCAACAAATCAATTAATTTTAGGGTTTAGGGGTTAGGCAAAGCAAGTCTACAAATATTTTTGTTTAGAAATTAAAATGGTCTAAAAGTCGAGAAAATTAAAAGAAGAAGAAGAAGCTGGAAAAGAGTAAGATATTCCATACTTGTCGTGTTCTCGAGCTCTCTAGTGACCTCCTGCACATGTAGTTCAGCAGCTTTTTGTGCTGCCTCAGCCTGACGTTTTTCTGAACGAGCATGAGCAGCAGCAGTGATAGCAGCATCAAGTTCTCTTTCCAAAGTCTCAACCCTTTGTTCAAGAACCTAGCAAAATATTATTTCATTATCATAACCAGTCGGCAAAATTGTATCATACATCCGTAATAAACAAAAGCCAAATGGCATGTTATTTAAACAAAGATCATCACTTAAGCTCATGTGATATGATATTTGATCTTTATATGGTGGGTTGTGATGTTAAAGCAAATGATTTACCAGACAATTTTAATCTAAACAGAAGTAAGAAGATAAGTAAAAGAAAAATTGGCCAGGTTCAAAAGCCGATAATAAAGTAGTAGTATTCAGAGATAAAATTATAGATATAAGCAAACAAATTTTCCTATTTAAAATCATCCTACAAAAGTCCAACACAAGGGAAAGCTCTGATACCGATTGATAAGAAATCACTACAAGGGAAGTAAGACTCGGATTAACTTGTTGATCGAATATCTTAAGGTAAGAACACTTGTTTGAGATTCGAATTACTCCACAAGAAAGATCGATCTTGTCTAGCTTGAATGATTCTCGTTGATCAAATATCCAAGAACACTTGTTTGAGATTCGAATCACTCCACAAGCAAGCTTGAATGATTCTACATGCAACCTAAACTATATAGAATGGTAAAGAAACTTAGCTATTGGCTAAAGGAAAGCACAAATGCTCATTTTACTACTTGGCCAAGTCTATCTTACAAAGATAACATACATGGCTTTATATACCCTCAAAATAAAAACCCTTAACCTTCCATGAGGCATTCCAAGAGTTGTAACTCTATTTTATGACCTTAATCAACCACTATGTATACTTATGGTCATAATTAACCACTATGTAAATAAGCCTTAAAATACATTAAAGAAACACCACAATTCTAAATTACTTTAAATTATGATTCACCCAAATTTATAACAATGAAGCTTAGATTCTTTTTCAATGTGGCACGAATTGAAACATCTTTTGATAATTTTGACAACATTTTCTTTATATCTTCATTGAAGTATATCGTATGATTGATGTCTCTTGGTTCATATCACTTTTAACTGATCCTGAATTCCTCCGACCCAGTGAGTACATTAGTATCTCTATTCTCAATATCCCTCCATCATGTGCATACCTCACATTTTACCTGATAGTTGGCAATCTCCACCCACTCATTTGGCTGAAGTTCACTACTCTACACAACATCCATTTCTCCAAGAAGGTCTTCGAAGATCAGGTGTATTTACTCCTTGATTCTTCAAAAACCCCACATTCAAAATGGCCTCTTAACAGGATCGATTAAGAGAATGACTTCCTGAATCTGCCAAATCTGCTAATCCTTTGGGCAATCCATCACTCTCCCACTCCACATTCCATACGAAAATTGAAATTTCAAACCCTATATCAGATATCTAAGCAACCTTGATCAACATGTATACCACTCCGATTCAGCATATAGCATGAAAACTAATATTTAGATCGCTAATACGAACGACGGCAATCCCACCAATTCCTCATTCCACCCAATTTCAAAGAGCAAAATCGAAATTCCAATCCAGACATCAGACTAAAACACCTAACTACAGAACATGAAAAAAAAGGGGAAAAAAATGTAAAAGCGAGTTCTAGTAACCTTGATCGTCCTTGCTTGTTCGGAGCACAATGAAGCTCTGGCAAACGTCTCGTCGTCTACATAGACGGCTTTCTTTACTAAAATCTTCTGGAGTGATTCTAGGTTAGAGGCCATCTCCGTGATATTGGCTACGGCATCGCTCCATCTGTCCGTTCCTTTGCCCTTGTCCTCCATGATCCGAATCTTCGCAAATTCACAATTCAATTATCGTTCAACTTCATGATCTGTGTAGAGACTTAGCGAAGGAGCTAAGAACTCACCCGATCATCCGCTGCAATCGATGTTTCCGTGATACTGTTCTTAGATTTGGTATTTGTGCCAAGCGACATCCCATCAAATCAAATTAAATTGTCAATTTTAATTTGATTTTTAAGTTAAAGATCAATTGGAGGAGAGGCTGCTTTATTCAATTAGCCTATAATATTAAAAATAGTCTTTTTTTTTTTTCCTCTTTAATTATTTATTAAAAATATAAAACATTCTAATAAATTTAATATTATCTCATCAATAATAATATAATATAATATTTTACGAATATAATATTTAAAATTTAAAATTACAAATATTCCACAACTAAAGAAATATAAATATAAAAAAGGTTAGTTATTTAAGGGCATTGGAATTTTCTGAAGTTTATTTCAACGATAAGTTATATCTTGAAAATCTCGTACCATAATCTTTCTCCATAAATGGTTGTAAAACGTTGAACATGATCGGAAACGTGTTTTAGAACATAATCTTATAAATTCTACTCCTGTGATTGTTCTCGAACATAGCTTTAAACCTTGCCATTAGTGTTAAGATAATGAGATTTTCTTCATTTTGCTACTTCCAAACTCAACTCACGTGACGTGACAGACTGTTATTGCATTTAACGATTTGGTAAATCCAAATCACTTTATATTTAAGTACTTCGTAATCACGAAATTTTATTCTATTTCGATACTACCACTTTTAATATGTATAGTAATCTATAGGGGTGTACATGGGTCGGGTTGAGAGAATTTATCGGATCAACCCAAAAGTTCGGGTTGGTTGGATTAGTAATTCAACCCAATCTGAAAGTTTTTACAACTCAACCTAACCCAAGCTCAAGTTGAGTTGTCGGGTTGTTTAAAAAAAAGTTGATTTCTTAATTTTATTTATTTATTCATAATTCATAATTCATAATTATTCGGTATAATCTTATATAAAATATATTAAAAAAGTTCACAAACAAACACAAATTAATCTATGATAATTTAAAAAAAAAATCATCAATAACAACAAGTAAGAATTGTAACATTATAACATAATTCAACACTGTCATAGAATTAAAGACAACTAAATACCGACACTTCCTGAGTAGTTGTTACTCTAAAAGTAAGGAAAATATAAGGATAGATGTTGATTTTTGTCTATCACGTTTCTTTAGTATATTTTCGTTTGAACGACTTATTCATTAGTGGATACATTTTTTTCCATCTTTATAGTCATAACGCTACAACGTTTTACTCTCTTATGAGATATTCATACTGAAACATCTAACCTTCTTTAAACGTCTTTTCATCTATATTTTAAAATAAAATTGAAAGAAAAATGTTTGGCTAAATAGATTATGAATCATGTACTACAAAGATCAAGCAAAATCTATCTCTATGATTTATCTTAGTAATGCACCGTTCATAATTTGTCTATCGAAATGTATAAAATCTATCTAGATGAGACATACAAATGACTAGCATTAAGATTCCTTTCATGTTCTAACGAATGCAAAGACATATAATTTGTGCCTAAATTATTAAATTTATTGAACGCATCAAAATGCTTGACTTTCCTAGTTTCGTTTTTTTTTCGATATTCTTTAATATGCACACCAAATATATTTTTTCTAAACCTAGATACTCCAAACTCTACTACGAAAAATCTACATTTTTTAATACACTAGATGACAAATCGATCCAGGTCGGCTTACTAATGAGATGTCCTAACACGTTACAAAATTTCGCTTTGACCAATGATCATTGACAACTCCAATTAAAAGATGATTTCGAAAAAACTGAAGTAACTCCAAAATTAACATTCCCTAAGATACGGAACCTACGTGCCTCTAAAGATTCAAGAATATACTTCAAAGTAAAGAGTCTTATTGAATATTAATATCCATGAAAAATATACAAACATCAAGATATAAGCATATAATTTAATGTAAGATGGTCTTATAGATCCATCTATAACTACCTATCGCAGCAGCATAAAACAAGTACGAATGTACCTTATTGATAACAACACATAGCGACATCCAACATACTCAGGCTGGGCTCTTGGCTCAAGCATTGTCATTACTAATCAAAGCAAGAAGCATCCTTTCATAATCCCCAGACGTATCGCCTTTTATCGCCTGATCCAAAGGAACACTGTTTCTCCGGTAATACTCTTCAACAATCCGTTTCATGTCGACCTCAGCTCTCGTCACGACTACTCTAGTCAGAGCCTCTTCGTCGGTTCCAAGCCCTTTGATGGCTAAACGAAGAACTTTCTCAAAATATTTCTCAGGCCAAGTTAGACACTTCACAGCAGCTCTCAGAAATTTAAGGTAATCGTTATCGGGGTCGGTCTTTAGATCCTGCGTCACGAGATCAAGATGCATTGCTAATCATTAAGCATAAAGAGTCCAGCAACTATTGAGGATACTTCGAAGAATAAATATTAGACACAAACCTTGTTTATAGCAGTCCCAAATTGGTCGTTGTAATGATTAAATGTAGCATTTAGTTGTGCCTTGCTTCTAGTGCTTATAATCCTGATGAGCTCCTCATCATTGTAAGCTTTCTCAGAGATTTTCTCGTGAAGTATCTTAGCCTCTGATGTGGCTAGGGCTGCATTTACCGCAGGGCCATCATATCGATATGCAGTCACAAGGGGTACCAGAAGCTACATGGAAAAAAGATGTTAAGTTCAAGAGAAGTAACTAAACATTAAGGAAAGTGTTTGATAATTAAATATATGTAGCATACTGAGAGTATACAAAAGAATTCCAAGTTGGTTTGGTTTTAAGCATCAACAAAATTTGAGTTTTATGTCAAGGCAAACTTATTGTAATAGCCCAAGCTCATAGTTAGTAGATATTGTCCTCTTTGGGCTCTCGCTTTCAGGTTTCCGCTCAAAGAATGTTTTGTTTTCCTCCCAACTGATGTGGGGTCTCACAATCCACCCCCTTCGGGGCATAGCGTCCTCATTGGCACTCGTTCCCTTCTCCAATCGATGTGGGACCCCTCAATCCACCCACCTTCGGGGCCCAGCATCCTTGCTGGCACACTACCTTGTGTTCACCCCTCATTAGGGATCATCCTCCTTGCTGACACATCACCTGGTGTCTGGCTCTAATACCATTTGTAACGCCCCAAGCCCATCACTAGTAGATGTTGTCCTCTTTGAGCTTTCCCTTTCCGTCTTCCACTTGTGTTTTTAAAACGTGTCTGCTAGGGAAAGATTTCCACACCCTTATAAAGAATGCTTCGTTCTCCTCCCCAACCGACGTAGGATGTCGCCGGAATTTTCGCGTCTTTTTCGACGACTGTCTTTTTTTTTAATCCTTACACTAATAGTTTGCAATGGTTTACAAAACTGTTGAAAATGAAATGAGAAATACAAATAATCTAGCTTGCAAATCGTGTCCAGAAAACCACAAACACCTGTAAGAAAATCAAGATTTTAAAGCATTGTCTTACCCTGCGAAAATCACCTGTAGTGTGATGTGCAACATCTTCTTCAATCGACCGCTTGAAACGAGCATGGTATTCTTCCTTCACTAAGAATAAATCCCGAGGAGTTCTAGTACAAGCTATTTCCAATATAACAAAATGCTTTGGGGTAAGTTTCCTTATTGCTTCATTGGCTAGTAATGCATCACGTTCAGCTGGATGTAGAGTCCATAAAAGCACAGCTCTCTGTTAATGGAAGAAGAAAAATCACATCATTTCAGCGCTCTTTTCTAGAAGCTTATCATATAATCATGTTTCAAGCTAAAGCAGCTACAGAAATGTTGTTTTCAAAATGATTCGAAGCTCCCCATACGTTTTAAATAGCTAAAAAAGTGTTTAAATAACCTGAACTGTAATGAATCAAAATAGGGAAAGGTTTGATTCCAAATTCCGACCTCAAAATCACTTGAAAGTTCTTTGTCTAGTGCCTTCAAGAGATCCTCTCCATACGTTTCAGCATAGGTTTGTCGAATCAGACTGCGTTGTTTAGCATTTCTGTGAGCCAAAATGGATATAATCGCCCCTTCATCCGTTCCCCAACCTGTAGTAACAGACAAAATATTTTACTCTGCATCTAACTAAACCAGAATAGTTAATTTATTCACATCAGTCAATACATCTTAAAGAATAATAATGATATCGAAGTCTTTTACTCACAATATGTAGATTGCAGGGCAGTTCCCGAGTAAACGTTTACCACAATCTTAAAAAATGAATCGGAGTATTCTTCACCTATATCTAATTTCGAAAATAATCTCACTTCTTGAACATCATTGTTCGTCTATGTAAACTTACTCTGCATCCATATGCTTCAAGTTAACTGTTGCACCGCCCCGCTACCTTAGAAAGTTTCTTATTGTTGAATGCTCGAACACTCAGATAAGTTTTTAGCTCATATATTCAGTACTTGAAGTCAAAGTTCAAATCCTATTTCTCAACTTGAACTAAAAAAGCATCCATATAAGTTACAAAATAGCAGATTGCACAAAAGTGATCCAAAGACTTTTTACCTTGCACACGGTGTTGATCAACAAGTATTTTTCACAAATACATTAATAATTGACACTGTTAACTTTCAAGGCAAGCATTGTGGCTTAGAATCGTTAAACAACAAAATGAGAAGCAAATTTGCAGGAATTATAGCTACAAAAGGGACTGAAATCATATAAAAACCAAACAAATCACGCAATCGACTTTCATTTCTCGGCTACACGCGTTAAGACTACCGATGAACTTCACAATAACCAGTACATTCATAGAAGCCAATATCAAGACGAGAAACAGCATATAAACACCTCTTTGCAATCATACGTAACAAGAGTCAACAGAGGGGAAAAAACAGGGATCAAAATCGCAACTGTTAGCAGAACACGTAGTTCAAATTTTCAGAAGCAAATCGAAAAGGCTTTGAAGAGATTGTCGTACTAGATCAGAAAAACAACCACTACATAAGAACAGCACCAAAGAATTTGAAAATTGTTAAATCAACTGAACGAACAGCGAGATTTTAGTTAGAGAGAGACCTTGAAAGGCACTATGGAGGCGGTCGCAATCTTCGGGCACCGGAGGAAGCTGGTCGGGCACCGTCAGAGTAGCCATTTTTGTCTCTGTGTTACAATGCAGTGAAGACGAAGATGGATTGAATTGCAAATTGCGACAATTTATATGGAAAAATTGCTCTGTCTGGTCAGTCCAATCCAACCACGTGACAAACATGTGAGGCGGCAAATTTGAAGAGACGAAAAACGACCCAACGAGAAAAGCATGAAAAATTATATAAAAATTGTTAAATTCTAACTGCTAAAAAACAAAAATATCAATTTTCATAAACTTTTAATTTTATTTAATTGTCAAGATTCGATGTTTTTATAAATCCAATTATATTTCACAAAAAGAATATAATATAATATTCTACAAACTTTTAAAAAATTAAATTTCAATATTATATCAAACATCATAATTATAATATATATATATATATATATATATATATATATATATTAAAACTAAAGACACAAAATTAACATGCCGGTGGTATGGAGGGCACCGACATAGTTTGTGGATGTTATTGTCCCAATTATACCTTGGATCTTGCTTCTGAGACCCATGATGAATCTCTGCATGTGTTTTACCAATGTGTCTGACCATCTCATGGGTAAATCAAGACGATCGGGTGATCTTAATTTTCTATTTTATGTGACCTCCGTGTTTCATCTGGTGCCTGTTGGATGATGAAAGTCTCACATCGGCTAATTTAGAGAATGATCATGGGTTTATAAGTGAGGAATATTAACTCCATTGGGATGAGGCCTTTTGGGGAACCCTAAAGCAAAATCATGAGAGCTTATGCTCAAAGTGGACAATATCATACCATTGTGGAGAGTCGTGTTCGTCTAACATGGTATCAGAGCCATGCTCTAAACTTAGCCGTGTCAATATATTGGCAAATCCTCGAATGTCGAACAAAGGACTCAAAAAAGAAAAAAGGAGTCAAGCCTCCTTGAAGGTACGAAGACAGTAAAAAATGACTAAGACTCCAAAGGAGTCAAGCCTCGATTAAGGGGAGGCGTGCTTTGTTCGAGGGGAGGTGTTGGATAATAAAAGTCCCACATAAAAGTCCCACATCGGCTAATTTAGGGAATGATCATGGATTTATAAGTGAGGAATACTAGGGGAGGCGTGCTTTGTTCGAGGGGAGGTGTTGGATAATAAAAGTCCCACATAAAAGTCCCACATCGGCTAATTTAGGGAATTAAAAGTCCCACATAAAAGTCTCACATCGGCTAATTTAGGGAATGATCATAGGTTTATAAGTGAGGAATACTAACTCCATTGGGATGAGGCCTTTTGGGGAAGCCTAAAGTAAACCCATGAGAGCTTATGCTCAAAGTGGACAATATCATACCAATGTGAAGAATCGTGTTCGTCTAACAGTACCAACTGATTGGTCATCATTAACGCTGAAGGTTCTCACAGTAATCTTCCACCAAAAGTGAGCTCTTAACATATATATGAGGCACAATTCATTTTTCTGGTCTCCATAGATTCTCCCCGACTGCATAATCTATAAAACTTTGTAATTAATTATTTATTTTTTAATAATAATTTTGACTATTTTATTTACCATTTAATATTATTCATGGTATGAAAATTCAAATTTATTATATAATCTTGAACAATACAATACGTGATTGACATACATGTAATAACCTATCTAATAAGCCTATTAGTACGACTCACTATGTATCCTATATATAATGAGTTTGTATACCACTAGACCACAAAATATTTAATCTCTTTATAAATCTACTAATAGAGAAGATTAAAATCATGCCTTCAAGAGAGTGATATTAAAATAATATTAAAATAATTGCATCTTAATGTCACAGATTAGTATGAATAATGATGGTACACTATCTATCACAAGTATTCAAGAGCTCAAAGACATACATGAAATACTCTTAATCAAACTGTTGTCTAAGATGCATTTCTGTTTCACTCTTCCAAGAAGCATGAGACGACTGTCCCCTCATTCTCTTGATCTTTTCCTTGTCTTTCACAGTAGATCCCTTCTTTTTGGTTTCACCGTCTGGCTCGGGAGGACGATCGCCACATAGAGGGCAAAACATTCCTCGTGCATTCGAAAAGGTCTTGGGAATGCCACAATGCAGGCACATTCTGGAAAATATAATCACACGATACCGTTGTAAAATACCGACATTTGCAACACAAATTTATAAATAAGTCGAGTTATGCGCGAAACAGCCATGATTTACCTAGGATTCCAGAGAAAGGAAGAAAAGTAAATGTTTACTTTGCAATATCAAAATTCTTAAACAGAAACTTCGGTTTCGGTTAGGAATCATGGATCTCCAAAACAGTATGGTATTGTCCACTTTGAGCATAAGCTTTCATGGGTTTACTTTGCGCTTCCCCAAACGGCCTCAAACCAATGGAGATGTATTCCTTACTTATAAACCAACCCATGATCATTTCCTAAATTAGCCAATGTGAGACTCTCTCCCAACAATCCTCCCTTCAAACAAAGTACACTATAGAACCTCTTTTGAGGCCTATGGAGCCCTCGAACAACCTACCCTTAATAGAGACTCAACTCTTTCTCTTGAGTCATTGAAAAAGTACACCCTTTGTTCGACACTTGAGTCACTTTTGACTGCACCTTTGAGACACAACTTCTTTGTTTGACATTTGAGGATTGTATTAACATGACTAAATTTAGGGCATCGATTTGATACCATGTTAGGAATAATGACTCTCCAAAATAGTATGATATTGTCCACTTTGAGCATAAGCTCTCATGGCTTTGCTTTGGACTTTCTCAAAAGGCCTCGTACCAACGGAAATATATTCCTTACTTATAAACCCATGATCACCCTAAATTAGCCAATGTGGGACTCCTCCAAACAATTCTCAACAACTTCTCCTCTTCTTTCTTTCTTTCTTCCTTTGTGTGCATAAAGCGGATGGCGGAGGAATGAAACCTTGTCACTCAACCAAGATACAATTTGAAAATACAATAAATGTACCTTAGTAGCTCTGCAGCATCTTCAGCATTTGGATTGGCTGCAGTTGCCATGCGCTTGCCTTGCTGTGTTGTGTTTGATACAGATGAATTTGATAGTTGATTACTCTCAAAGTCGCTCCTCACTCGCTCATGAATCCCAACTAATTGAGCTTTTGCCTCCACTACAGCACCTGTTCACAGTATAAGGTTCGCAGAAGGGCAATTATATAATGAGATGGTATAAACACAAAACAGTACAATTTCATTTTTTCACTTGCTTTCATGAAAAAAAAAAGAAAAGAAAAAAACAATAACAGCATCCAGATTTAAAATTTGTTCTCTTTGGGTTAAAATTGATGTTGGAGAAAAATGAAAATCATTTTCATAGGTAATATATAAATAGAGAGAGAACAAAATATTTCATAGCATGACATGACATATATGATTCAGCATCAGTTTCTTTCCATCTAGTGGAGAGATATTGCAGTGAAACAACCAACATATAGTCGAGTCAAAGAAACTAAAAATATAAACGATCATTTCATTAGATAAATATGGTTTTGTTTGATAAATTAATTTCATACATCCTCTTATACTTCAGCCAAATGAACTTGCCTATACCACCCACTAGCAAGGTGTTGTGAAACACCATCGCCCAATCACTGACCAAGAAAGTTTATTTATTGCTGTCTCCAGTGCTCACAATGGTTGCAGTTTGTATGCAATGAACACATGTTCCTCACAAGTTAGGCAACTGCAAGTTGTATGCAATGAGCACATATTCCTTACAAGTTAAGCAAGTGTCATAGTGAAGAAAGATATTGTTGATTCGTTTTAGTAGACCCATTGACCCAACTCCATGTCTGATATCCATCTTAACATCAGAGAGCAAGCAAAATTTTCAACTCGCATCGTGCATTTTTAGCATATTACTTATCAATTTTTCCTTACATTTTTTGGTAGGGACGATGGATTTTTTGCATTTTCACAATGGTACGTGGGCATAAGCCATGAAATCTTTGCTTTGATTCACCCAAAAGGTATCATACCAGTAAAAATGTAAGTCTCTTTACTTATGTACCCTTGATTTTTCCCTTTTCTAGCTGATGTAGGGTTTTGGTTGCACTTCCAACAATCTTGCCCTTGAACAAAAGACCACATAGCCACCCCTTAAATCGCCACCCATCCATCTAGAGTCTTAAGGACATTGCTTGTATCCAAGCTAACTCATCTTCTTCAAAGTACACTGCCTATTCAATAGGGGTCAATCATGGATTGTACACGACTACTTTTTTCAAGGCTTACAACTTTTGTTCCTCACTCATGGATCGCACATGAACATGGCTAAGTTTGGAGCATGGTTCTGCTACCAATTGTTGGGAGACAATAGACCTTTCCAATATCTCCCTAACTGGTTATCCACTATAGGCATAACCACCTATGGTTTTATTTTTGGTTTCATCCAAAAAGCCTCAAACGAATGAGGATGTTGTCTCATGCTTATATAAACATGATGTTCCCTTTTCGCAGCCAGTGTGGGACTTTGCCAACACTCCCATCTCTTATGTCAATATCCATCTTCCCTACCTTTGGGGGCATTTCGTCCCTTGAACAAATGCACATTAAACATTATGGATGTCTTTCCTATTTTCACTCACTCTCTTCAAGGAAAGTTGTTGCTCAAACTTGAATACTAGATATTGTTCTATATTTCTACGGTTCTATTGATTACTCCCGAGGGTTTTATTCTTGTACGGTATTCTCAGATTATTATTTGACTTATAGATCTGCAACTAAAGGATCCAAGAGAAGCTCATAAAAGATTCAAGCCAAATTTTCCAGAAATAATTTTGCTTCCCTTCAACTTCCTAGCAGCCTAGAGAAGCTCATAACAATAAAATTAATGCTAAAATCAGGAATCGAACACATACCAGTAGGCAAATCTTTCTTCTCCTTACAATTCCTATGGCTCCCATGGCCCCCTCGCGGCTGATCGACATCTCTCGGTGCAGCGTACTCCTCAACCGAATTATTTAGAAACTCCGGCGGTCCTGAAACCTCCGGTAATCCACAGTAAGAAATCAGAAAACGAACAGTCTTCCGAATTCACTCAACCGAACAAGAAAAAAAAAAAAAAGATACAAAGAGATGAACCAAAGAGGCGTACTTCGGAGAAAGCGTCGAAAGCGGAAGGCAGGCCGGGATGAGAGGAGGGCTGCGGAAGTTCGAAAAGTGACTTGTCGCGTATGGAAAGATTGAAGGTAACTGAAGAGGCGGCGGCAAGGTCTTCGTCGTCATCGTCGGAAGAGGTGTGGTTGAATACAGCGTTGTCTTCAGCTTCTTCTTCGGCTGAAGAATAGCCTTGGAGAAGTGCCAGACTCATGGCGGATTCCGTTGACGGAGATCCAACTGGTTCGATTTTGAGGGATGGATGTCAGATTTGAAACCTTTGGTCCGATACAGATCCAAAAGCCCGGCCCAATGGACTAATTTAGGCCCAAATCTAAATTTTGAAAAAAAAAAAAAAAATTGAAATTTATAAGAAATACTAAATTAATAAAAATATTATTTATATTTTATCTAAAAAAATACTCGTAAACTTTTAAAATTTTCAATTAAATATCTATACTTCAAAAAAAAAAAAAAAAATCTAAAAAATTTCCTTATTATTAGTTTAGTATTTTATTTAACAAATAACCTTAAATTTTTAATTGTGTTTCAAAACACTATAATACTGCATTTAAAAAAAATTCATAAAATTTTAAAAATATCATTAACACTCTTTACTTTTATAAAAAAAATTTAATTTTTACTATCAATATATGCATAAAAAATGTCACAACTCATAAATTATCTACGAACGTTTTAATGTTATTTTGAAAAGTTTATGAGTATTTCTTAAACGTGTTACTATTTTTGAGTTTGAAAAAAAAAATGTGTTCTTAAAGTTTTTCAAAAATTTTAAATGTGTTTACCAATTTTTTTTTTAAGGATATTAATGAAATATTTAAAAAACTTAAAAGATATTTTTCAAAAACTTAAAAAGTATTTTTTAACCATTTAAAAAGTTGAGTAATTTGGAAATAAAATATTAACTTGTGTTGAAGCATATTTTTATTAATTTAGTCTCGAATAAAAAATTGGTAAAAAATGATGCAAAATAAATAAATAAACCAAAAAGTTAGGATTTTCAAGTCACAAATTGCTCCGAATTATTTTAATTATTTAAAATCTTACCTTTTAAGCAAAACAAAATTTGGTATATATTAACACAATTCACCTGCAAAATGATTTGGAAATTGTTTACAAATTAATAATGTTTTAACATGTACGTAATAAAGCAATAAAGGGTTTAAATCATGACTCGGATCTATCTTAACCTCATAGCTCCACAGTTTATGTATACATTCGCTTCATCGTGCAACTCAAATACTATTCGGAAAAAAAAAAAAGTAGCATGAATGAATATAGCAAATCACACTTGACACCAATTCTTTTTACGACCTCCCCATTTTTAAACTGTTTGGCACCTCTCTGAACTATGAGTATAAAGGTCGTAGAAAGGTGACTTTCCTGTTAGAATAAAGGCTCAACTTTTAAAGATAAGGTAGCAAGGAGAAGCCACAAAGTCGGGCGAAAAAAATGTGAATAGGGCTTGAGTTTCCTTTAATGTTTGTCATGAGTATGCCAAGATCATAACCCCACACAATTGAAAACATACAACCGTTACACTGCTATTCCTTGACGTATGCAATTTCCGCTTTGTACTTTGGACTCAAATTCTCCTATTAAACTCTCAAATCTTCAACATGGTTGCGAACAAAATCTACGCCAACACACGAAGGAGATGGTCTTCTCATCCCTTGGCCTTGTAGCTTTTCATACACGTTGCAATTACTCCGACCATAGGGATAGAATTACCACATATCTTCCTCGTGTAGGCATGGGGTATCTACCATTCTAAGACTTCCCTTCATAAAGAAAATGACTCAGAGCGCTAACAATCAAACCAATAGCATAAAAGCTCCAAACAAGTAAGGATAATTCTAAAGTTCTAAATGACAATGCTCCCAAAATGGTCACATCGTCGTACATGATTATATAACAAAATTGAATGAGGATTTTTTGTTCATCCACGCAAAAACATACGCTTCTCGACCACAATCCTATGACCAAACTCGGTGAGGATGTTAAGGGTGCCTGCACAAAAACATACATTTTTTGAAGGTCGACATTACTCCGTGCTCGATTCTAATCATATTGGGTACAGCCTGGGTAGGAGCCTTTGTGATGGTATGTGAAATAAAATAAAACAAGCAAGATAAACAATCAAAGAATATTAAACACAAAGAAAAAAATCTAAGTCAACAAAAATGGCTGAAATCTCATGTTCCAAGTAGAGTCTTCAAACTAACATCATTTGCTTGTAACATGGAGCGATCGACATCCTTAAAGGGGATATGTTTTTAAAAATAGATATCATTTTTGTGAGATTCCACGTCAGTTGAAGAGGAGAATGATGCATTCTTTATAAGGGTGTGGAAACCTCTCCCTAGCGTTTTAAAAGTCTTGAGGGGAAGCTCGAAAGGGAAAGGCAAAAGAGGACAATATTTAGGCTGTTACAAATGATATTAGAGGCAAATACCAGACAATGTGTCAGCAAAGAGGCTGAACCCCAAAAGGGGTGGATACGAGGTGGTGTGCCCAGCCAGGACACTAGGCCTTGAGGGGGGGGGGGGGGGGGGGGGGGGGGGGGGGGGG